TACGAAACTTTTTTTTTTTTTTGGTTAAAGTTTTACAGGGGTTCTTAATTTTATTTTTTCAGTATTGTGAATTCAAATGGTCTAGTCCTCGTCCTTAAGTTATTATGTATCAGAACATAAAATTGTACAGGTTTTTAAAATCAGGAGTAAAAAATGAGAATTAGGGACCTACAAATAACACAACTTTTTGGGATCTCAAAGTCATTATTTAATTTTCCTCCTAACGTCATGAAACTTTTACATAATGTTTTGTTCAATATCATAAGATCTAATCAATATTTTTAAATAAAATATTTACCTTGTACGTATTACTTTTAAATCCAGCCTTATGTAGGTAACTTGTCGTGAAAAAAGATTCATGATAAGAGATACTTACCCTTACAGTTCACAAAAGTTTTTTTTTCAAACAGCTTGTTATGCATGAAATTGTCACAGAGAAATCATGTGCAAACCAAATAAAATAGAGTTTTAACGTCATTTAAAATTGTATACATTTTTAGGTATGAATGCTTCACAGAAGTATCCGATTTTTACCAGAGAAACCATTACGTGTAAAAATACGTAAATCAGCTATACTTTAAACTTTACATTCGATTGGACTCAAATTGAGTTCGTAGTTTTATTTTGACACAACAACTTGACAGTTTCAAATCCAGAAAATTTCTACGTCTAAAGAAATTTTGTCCATGGGAAAAATTTTACCAGTACCTAAACTACTTATGTAAATAAAAAAAAAGAATTTGCATTAAACCATAATCAAAGTAATTACATTTCACCGGCTCACTAAATCTATTTTTCGAGTTTATCTTGAAAATTAAAAATTTTAGTTGCAGATCATGAAAAATTACAAATTTTTCATATTTTTATGTTTTTTTCAGTGAATTATTGATGTGCCAAAAATTGTAAATATTTCAGGACATGAAAGAATCAGTTATTTTGCTACAGTTTATATTTTTAATTTATGTATGTAGCCAAGGAAAGTTTTACATTCTGTTGTTCTACGTTTTTGAAATATACATTAGAGCAGAAAATGTTGTGGTCTAAATAACGATAAATTACAAACCAAAATACATAAATACTGATATAATAGTGGTAATATCAATGAATTAAAAAATTTCTGTAACTCACACGACTACGGTTATATACTTTTTGCTCTGGTAAAAAATGTAGTGGTCATGTCTTCGATGTAAACATTTAATTTTAGCATAAAAGCCGTTTGTAAGTTTTTTTTATTTTGCTAATTGAAACTGCCACACCTTTATTACATTGTAAGATAAAAAGCTCTAATTGCGCATAACTGAAATTCGAAAGCACCTTCAAAAAGCATGTCCAGTTTTTATCGATTGATTCGTTCGTTCAATTGTTAGAGGAAATAATGGATTCAGCAAAACCTCAGCTTAGTTCAGTTGAAGGAGGGCATCATGGGTGCAGTTAACCTCAAAAATTACTTTTAGGCTTAAACAATTTTAATACAAATCAATATAAATAACCCGAAACATGTAAATAAGTCGCACTGACGTACAAAAAAATATAAGTACCAATGGAAAAATTACTAGTGAACAATAAATTTTGTTTTGAAATATATCACTAACGTATGCAATAACAAAGTTTAACTTTAAATAACTGACTGTACCAGCATTAAGTCAATAATTCAATATTTCATCAATGATTTTCTCTCGTTTTCTTGCAAAAATAACGAAGTTTATTAAAAGTTATAATTTAAATATAACCAGAGCAATAAAGAAAATCTCACTGCTGATAACCCCCGCAGTTTGTAGATTTGCCACATGACACTTTCATGCTTCTATTACTGTGAACAAAAAGGTTTGTTTGTAAAATTATTTAACCGTTTACTCTGAGTATAAGCTTAAAGTAATCTTTTTCCCATCATTTATAAATTGTCTGCAAAAACATTAAACATCGACGAAAATGGTAAAAAAAAAAGTACCAGCCATTCGTCATTCAATATGTTTTAAAAAAATAACTAATGAATGAAAAATGAATAATTCAACCTATTTAACACTGAAAGGGGTGTAGATGAATGACTGGAATTTATTGTCATCGTGCACGCACTTAAATTTTTATTATTATTATTATTTGTGTATTATTTTTGTTATTTGAGGACCCGAAGGTGAAGGTTTCACGGAAGTATTATTGTGTAAAGCACCAATGTACCTATAGCACCAATACGTTCCAAAGCGAAACGAAAAAAAACCCGCATGAAATATCCAACAGCACCAGCTGTCGCCCCTGCGCTCCGAGCCGTCCCGCAGCGCTGCAGCCAGCACGAGTGACGCGTCCGTGTTCACTTCGATCGCCTCGGCGCGAAAAAAGCTCCTGGCTCTGTCGGACAGCACCGCCGGAGCGGCTGCTTGCCGAGCCTGCGTCCGAGCCGTCCAACCCGAGCGCTTCCACAGCCACCCCACTCCCCTACAGTCGCCCAACGGGGAGCCGTCGCTACCGACGCCGCTCGCCCAACTCAGCCGGTCCAACGTATCGATCATCCCTGTGAGGACCAACTCCCGCAAGCCCAACGATCCACACCAGTTGGCCAAGATCGTGGAGAAGAAGAGGGCCAGCCCGCAGTCGAGCAACGCCCCGACGCCCAGGTCGAAGCAGATCGCCAGCGAGGCCGGTACGCGCTTTTGTTACTTCCTTGGCCTTGATAGTTTTTTGTTTTCCATCTTGTTTTCCCACCAAAAATCACTTGAGGTATTTTCTCGTGGTACTAAGTTTTTCCTCGTTTTTGGCTGGTTGTATCTCCAAATTTTAGAAATTGTTGTTATATGTGGTGATTCGAGAATTTTTGTTTTTGTTTTAACATGGGACTTGCAAGTGTGCGGTTAAATTATAACTAATAAATAAAGCTAGGACAATTGTAAATCGATACTAGTAAAAAAGTATTGGTTGTTCTACTTATTAAACGAAAATCTTCCAAAAGTAAAGAAATTGTCAGCAAGAACGCATTTATAATTGCCATTTTTTTTCTTGACAAAGCCGATTTCTGATCGTTTAGTTTCTACAGCAGCGACGACCATGCCGAAGGCGCTGAGCAGAGAAAACTCGGAAAAAGCTGGGGCAACAAGTCCAAAGTCAGGCGACGAAAGATCAGTCGTGCCGGTCGCTACGACCAAGCGTAGACCGCGCACTGTCACCTGCTACGTTTGCGGCCGAGAATTCGGCTCCATGAGCTTTCCCATCCACGAACCAAAATGTTTAGAGGTATGTTGATTTTTTTTTTTTTTTTCATCCCCTTCACTTTGCTTTCCATTGAGTCATCCCGACTGATGTTTTTGTTTAATCACATACAATACACATACCTATTTTTTACTTGCTTTTAAATTTTTAAGAATTGTTAAGTACGGATAAGTTTATGACACTGAAAAACTTTATCAAACGTACATACTTTGGATAAAAATAGACTTGTCTTGTCAAGGGAAATTGTTTTTTTTTCTTTTCAAATTACAGAGATGGCATCGCGAAAATAAAGCACTACCAGCCTCGCAGCGTCGCAGTGTTCCGCAACGTCCAAGTGTGCCCATCGATTCTGAAGAATGGAATACCGCTGCCTGGGAACAGAGTCAGGTATACCTATATGCATTGAAATGCTCTATAGATTTTTTTTTTTTTTTTATATTGGAGTGCTCTACGTCCGGCTCCTTTATTAAGGGCACTACTATGGGCACTTAGCACTTGGGAGAAGGAAGGGATGAGGGGATGGGAGGCATCACAATACTGGGAGGGGGGTAGGGGGAAACTAGGCAATTTTGCTGCGAGAAGGTCGCCTAAACCCTCCTCGAGGAGCATTGCGTGGTGAAAAAGCACATGTGAAAAATCACAGAGGTACTTGCCCGAAAAAGTCGTACTATGGCCGGGAATTGAACCACGGTCTCCCGCGTCTCAATCCACGACCTAGCCGACTGAGCCACCGCGCGCTCAAACTATATAGATAATGTAAAAGGTAATTCATTTGGAGAACGTATTGTTCTATTTTAATTCAATCGATTTTTATGATTATGCGTTTTTTAGTAAGATAATTACTATCGGCGTGTAGCGAAAGTGTAAAACTAATAGTATACATGTAATTTTTCAAATTTTTTTGTAACCAAGAAGTTGTAATTTTTATCTATTGCAGGCTCTGCTGATTCCATGTTCAAAATGCAAACGAACTTTCTTGCCCGATCGATTGGCTATTCACGAAAGAAACTGCCGAATCCCGAACAAGGTATTTTACAGGAATTTATAAACAGAGACTGATCTGGCACTCGCTGTTTTTTTGACTTTTTCCTTTTTTTTTCTCAAACTTATCGAAACCAAAATACCATTACGAGCACTAAAGGTTTATTACAATCAGTTGTGTCATCATGGTTGTTCAATAACTATTTTCAACAACATCACTGTTTTTGTGTACAATTGTGCCATCTTTATAGCATCGAGCATAGTTTTGTGATAAATAATCATTTTTTAAGTGTATGAAAATTAAATAAACTGTCAATGACCAATAAGCTTTATCATGCGTATCAATTGATTTATTGTTTTCATGGAGCATTAAATCTTGAATTCCATTTATTTTCATCAAATACGTTATATATTAATGTACTTGTTGAGTAGGCAGTATTTACTTCAAAGATATTAGCGTCAACAAATTGGGAAAAACTTTTAGCCATAAAGTTCACCTTAGATTCTTAAATTATGTTGCATTTTCCATTTATACTTTTATCAATTAAATTATCAAAAAGTAAAATTTTATCATGTTGCTCGCTGATTATGAAGTTAAAGTTTTAGTAAGTTGTTAACAGTAAATGGTACATTACGTCACTAGGGCACAAAGTACAAAAATGAGCGCCCGACGGGCGCGCTTGTTGTAGGTTGGTGCCCGAGCCGTGTGTAATGTTTTTCTTCCCGAGGGCGCAAAGTGAAATTTTGCGCCCAGTAAATCACTTTGGGCCCGGAGAGCACAAAAAACTTTTCTGCCCGTGGGCCCAAAGTGATTACAAGGGCGCAAAGTGTGATCCGAGGGCGCAAAGTGGCAGTTGCACTTTAGGCCCATGGTAAGAAATGGTAGTTTTCCTACGAGTTTGAAAAGTCTCTGTTTGCGAACCGAGAGGTTTGCGGCCCGAGCCGAAGGCGAGGGACGTAACGAGGTTCGTAAAGGAGACTTTTCGAACGAGTTCCGGAAAACTGCTTTTTCGCCCGAGGAAGTACCAGCCTCCCAAAACCACCCGAGGGCGGAAAAAGAAATAAATTTGGTCAGAACCGACATAGGCACAAGTATTTTTGAAGCTGTTGATGGTTCAAAATTTTTTTTCATTATTACATATCAGAACTTTTTTCAGCAAAAACTGTGATAGTCAATATGTATTGCACTTGTCTGTTAAAGTTTTTTTGGTTTCATACTGAAAATAGGGATGAATAAAAAATTTTTCTAGAAAAAAGGATGCACTTTATTTAGGAAAAAAAATTTTTCCACCCTCGGGTGGTTTTGGGAGGCTGGTACTTCCTCGGGCGAAAAAGCAGTTTTCCGGAACTCGTTCGAAAAGTCTCCTTTACGAACCTCGTCACGTCCCTCGCCTTCGGCTTGGGCCGCAAACCTCTCGGTTCGCAAACAGAGACTTTTCAAACTCGTAGGAAAACTACCATTTTTCAAGGTATTAAAAATTCATAAAATAATGATGCTCAAGTCTGTGTACACCTTTAATAACACGTCTAGAAATAAAAAAGTGGTATAGCCCAAATTATCGATTTAAAGCAGTTGAAGTCTGTACTCTGTATACTGAATGTAAAAATATATTTATAGTGTATTTTAACCAATATTTAAACATAGCTAGGCACTTATAGAAACAACAAAGTAGTAATTTTCGAAACTAGGGGGTTCAGCTAAATTTTTTTCAATATAAAATAATGCAACTTTTCAATTTTTTTTTATTTCTGAAATAGTACTTGAACTTTCTTGTTTTGAAGTTATCATCCATGTGATTTTTTTTCCATATGGTATTACCGATCCAAAACGCCTTTTGTAAAGCCATGTATAATGCCGTATGGCATATGGCTTTCCTGAAGTACTTACACGTAGAATTCCGTAATCCATTTTTCAGATGGGCTTATTTCACCATATTTTTATTAATTAGTCTGATACCTATTTTACATAATAACACCACTCAATCTTTATTGAAGTTTGTTTTTTGTCAACGAAACACTTAACCTAATACTTAAATTATTGTTTAACGTAAAATATGTAGTCTGCATTATGTACTTACATGTATATATTTCTAAACAATTATTTTTAAATATAATTCTAAATTTTATGTAGTCTGTAAGAGTTTTTTACATCCTACATACAAAAGCGATCCGTGTTTTTTATGTACTGAATCCGAATCAGAAGTCTGTTTTTACGCATCAATGAAAATAAGCCCTTTCAGGTGCTGATAAAAACAATCCCAGCTTCCAGTTGACATCTGTTGACATTTATAAAAATATAATTGTAGTATTTCGTAATATAATATTAATAACATTAAAGTTTTGTAGTGTTAAAGTTAAATAACTAAAAAATTACGAAACGCGGTATCAAATGTTATAGATGCTTATGACATTGTAGTATGTTGCGAAAAAAAACGCAGAAGTACTTAAGTATACACAACCCTCTTTTACTTTTTATGAGATTCATTACGAAATAGTTATTACTCATTTAGCTTGATTTATCATGAGAATCAATAACATAGTTATGAAATGAAAAGTTTTTTATACAAAACTTGAATTTAACAATTTTAACTTTGCAGCATATTATTTTAACCAAGTTGGTCTACCATAAAACTTAAAAATGACACTTTGATGGCATTTTTTACTTCATTACTTTATTTCTAGAATTAAAGGTGAAAAATACCAATTTTAAAATTAATTAGTAAGAGAAAGAACGAGTATCTTTATCAGAAGATGGATGTTACATGAGGCAAGGCCTAAATATTAATTAATAAGGCCAATCCACTCAGCAGTAAGAGAATTTAAAACAAATATTTTTGCAGATAACGAAATGAAAATGCTGTATCGCTGAAAAATAGTTACTGCTAAATAGATGAATACAAAATTGTTGGGAGACCATAGATTTTTTTGCGTTTTTTTTGTAGATTTTATACTTCATATCTTGGCGTGAAACAGTCAAATCTAACCAACTTGGTACACCATAAGCAAAGTTTAAAATAATTGAGTTATTAAATTGGAACATATCGCGCTTAGCAGAAAATATTTGAAAAATTGCCTAGTAGATTGTTAATACTTGTATAAGTGGAAAAATTTTCTCAGCTATTTTAGTTTATTAGAAAAAAAAACTAAAAAAATTTCATTCACATATTTTAATACATGTTCCAACGTATTTTTAGTATTAATTAGACTATTTAGTAATAGTAGTTTTCCTACGAGTTCAAAAAGTCTCTGTTTGCGAACCGAGAGGTTTGCGGCCCGAGCCAAAGGCGAGGGACGTAACGAGGTTCGTAAAGGAGACTTTTCGAACGAGTTCCGGAAAACTGCTTTTTCGCCCGAGGAAGTACCAGCCTCCCAAAACCACCCAAGGGTGGAAAAAAATATTTCTACGTACAGAAAAAATTACCCTGTTTTGATAAAACTTTAGCCATAATATCAATAATATTGAATTCATGAGGATAAAATACATCTCATAATGTAATTTTTTTACCATACCATTATAATCTAATACAAATAATGAAATAGCACACTACACACTGCTATTGTTTTGATTTTTTTTTTTTTTTTTTTTTAAGGGGGTTGAGATTGTTTTTGCTCCAACATAGCAAATTGTTTTTGTCCAAGATTGTAAACTGGGTTCGATTATTTTTTTACCTGTTTTTCAATATAATAGTAAATTGTAATATTAAATTCGTTTATTCTCGTCTACAATGATTTCTATGAATCTTAATGTCTTCAACAGAATTTTTTAATTCATTGACCGATATTATCTACTATTTTGGAAAAGTAGCGTAAAAATAAAATGAAAAAAAGAATAATTTATAAAATCACAACAGAAAGCACAAGAAACTTGGACTTAATTTTTCTAACCTTGATCCATTATACTCGTATGTAATTCAATGTGATGGATGTAAATTGTAATAAGTTATACACTTCTTTGGTGATGCAGTTTAGATTCAGATTATAAAAGTTGAAATACATGTCAAACATAATTAGTTAACGATGGAACAATTATTTTTATATTTTATGGTACTTGCTAACGTCATTTATCAAAATATATGATGTTTGTTCACTATTTTTTTCGAATAAATCAAAATTTTGAGGGTAAATGTGCTAAATTGAGTCCGATTTCAAATTCCACGCGAGAAAATACTTAAAGGGTCGTTCACTTCCTTCAATCGTCTATATTGATACATTGCACATAGTGTTTCGTTAAATTGATTGTTATATTTCATGCAATTGCGTTTGAGTTCATCCTGCACTTATTCTTATCCGCACAAATAATAAAAGTACAAATTTAATGAATTAACAAAAGCTAAAATTATTCGTCACCTTGTCTTTAACAGTAAAGGTAGATTGGAAAAATGGATTCAATGCCGCTGCTGTTCTTTAAAGTTCATGGAAAAGGCAATATATCATTTAAAGCAGCAATAATGGCAATCACCGATAGTTGTGGAGGAAAATGCTGGTCTGACCGTGAAAAAAAAGCCGTGGTGTTCTAAAGCATTCAAAGCGAAACTATATTCGTCGGTTTGTGGCGAACTTTTTTGTAGCATTACAACACTGATTTGAGACTTTGAATTTACTGACACTTAATGTACGGTTTCATGCTTCTTGAATTTTACAAATTCTACAAAAGTTTCATTCATTGAGTTCATTAGATAGATACTTAAAAACTGTTTGACACGTATTTTCCATTTTTAGGCACGACGAATGTATGGAAGTACCTTATAATTTTGTCAGTGCAAAAAGTGTGACCACTTTTAAATTATCTATTTTTAATATGAAACAAATTTTGAACCTATTATGGGGTGATCTGAGTTGGTCACGTGACGTGAGTGTGGATTTCCGTGAGTACTTACCTGTGTTATAAAGTTTTTACACTAACTCAAGTAATTACGATTCAAATGGGCTGAAATTTTGTTCATAACTTCGAGTTGAGAAAATTTTGATAGCATTTTTAGTGCAGCGCTGAGGCAAAAAAAAACATTTTTCTGCGCTAACTTTTACTTGTACTGTACATTTTACTTGTCCACGTTCGAAGGCAGAGTTGTGGATCTTGTTGAAATACAATTTTTTTGTGTTATACGTTTTTCTCTTAATCGCAATGCTAATGCTCTACAAAGCC